TGTCATGCCGGGCTGCATAGACGCATTTTGCAGCATTAAGGTTAACGATTAATCGATTAATTGATCGTTAATTTAAACGACGCTCGATCATGGAAATGATCGAAAATTGACATCCCTAATAGAAATACAATAAAAGTTTTTCAGTTAGTGTTTTCAGCTTGTTTATTTTCATATAAAACTATGGCATGCAGTTGCTTCAAACAAAGGTGTAAACATCATTTAATTGTAATCAATAATCGCAATTACAATTTCAAAGGAATAATTGACAATTATGATTTTTGTCATAATCGTGCAGCCCTACATCAGGCTGTGTATGTATGAATTACCACCGTTTTTCCGCGTTTCTCTATTAACAGTGAAGCTGTGGCTTTAATTCCTTTAGAAACAATGATGTTACCAGCTCCTGGTTGAGAAAGATAATGTATCTTTTGAGCGATTAAGCTATTTTATTGATAAAATTGCGGGGCAGCGCTAAAAAGTTTGTGTTACTGAATGTATGTGCGCGCACACAACGTGATCTGTTTGAGTGCATGAACGCGTGTGCGTTAGATACAGTGAAGACAGCGCATTAGTTTAGAACTCTTCTAATTTTTATTTTTTTAAATGTAGAAAATGTGTTAATTTGTGCTAGGCTAAATAATGATAACCTACCAGCAATGTAAAGATGATTTTTTAATATATTAGTATGAGTATTGAGTACATTACAATATAAATGTATTAGAACGAGTACATTATTATTTATGGGCTTAAAAACCAGATGTAAACAATCAGAATATTGTACCTGGTGGGGAGTGCCCAATGTAAACATGAAACATATGCCACTACCTATATTGTACTGTAGTACAGTTATGGAGGCCCTTCATAATGCAGAGGTCAACTGCCTGTTCTGCCAATAGTTAGAATTGGCCCTATAGTATGCCGTGCATATTAAATAGCAGTTTTACTAAATTCTGCTGAGGTGAAATTCAGTGCAGTCCTGTATCATATGTATCGTATCGTGACATATGTATCGTACCGTGACATATGTATCGTAATCGTATCGTGACTTTGCTGGTGATACACAGCCCTAGAACAAACCACGTTTGATGCCATTGAATACCTAGCCTATGACATCAGATGAATTTTCCATTGAGGCAGCAAAACAACTAAACTCTGTTACATCTAACAAACACCCCTTAGTAAGTTCTACCTTGCTTAACACGCTGTATTTTCGGTTTACTTCATACTACCCAATCGTCCTCACATGAGGTAATAAGGTAAAGCAGACTTGCTGCTTGCTATGTAGTCAGTATCGTGGTAAACCGCATAGCAAAGTCACTACCAGGTGAAACTTTTCTGCTGTCGCACTTTGTAAATATATATATTAAAAAAAAACATGCCACCCATCCCTTGTGGGCAAAAAGCGCTTATAAAATGAAGGACTATCCTAGAGACATCTGATGCTGTGATTCAAAACTCACAAGAAAGCAGAAGCAAAGCAAACTTTTGCAACAGGAAAAGAGAGAAAGCAGAGATTACATCGCCTGAAGATGAAGACAGAAGGCCACACACAAAGTGGTCTTGTTCATAACAGTGGTCATCACATGATGTTCAAGAGACTGTTCAGCGTCAACACTCCAGGCTGGCTGGATCACACAGGCTGCATCATATGACCCCGCCTCCATGACTTTACCAGCCCGGACCTCCTCCTCCTCGCATCGGTTCCCAAGTACTCTCTGAAGACTCATGGCAGGCCTGTGTTTATGTTTCAGGTCCTCTTCACTCACATCCCCCTCATAAATACAGTTATTGCTGGTTTGACCTTTGGGGTCAGAGATTCTTTTCTCATGAAACCCACTGCGGCTGCCGAATTAGGGCTCCTTTTCTCAGCTGTTCCTGGAACATGCTTCCATTTACGATGATATGTAATCTTAGCGCTATGAAGTTCAAATGGGCGAGGACATCAGGCTATTTAGCTTAGAGATCAATTCGATTTTAATGAGGGACGGAATAAACTGATATCTAAGAAGAGAATTGCACCTATGAATACTGCCTGTGACTTTATTATAGTTTAACGGCAGTTCATTGTTTCAACAGCCAAATTAGCAAACACGAAGTTCAAGAGCTATAGTTCTAAATCTTACAGCTATTGTTATCTAATAACTATGGCTCCAAGAAGAATGTTCAATTGGTTCCATGGAACCTTTAACACTTTGTGGAAGTGGAAAAAGGTTCTAAGGTGTTCTTTACACTGAGAAAGAAAAAAAAAGTTATTTTAAGAACTGTTGACTGAACCCAAAATGGTTCTTCTATGGCATTGCTGTGAACCCACCACCTTTTGGAAACTTTATTTTTAGTGTAGTTTACTTTGCGTCTTTTGTGTACAAAATAAGTTACAAGCCGACAAGCAAAGCAACTTGTGCACAATATTCTAAGTCTTTTGAAGCCATAGGATAGCTCGGTCTGACAGACACAAATTTAAGTGAATATTATTGCCTTCTACCACAGTTCTCATTCACACTTCCAAATATTCTAGCTTGGCACTATAATGTGACATGAAAAAGTCACTAGTCACAGGCACTATATCTGTAAATATTTTTTAAGTTAATGTGACACTGCCATCTTCCTTTGAGCTCCACATAAGGAAGTCAAACAGGTTTACAAGGACATGGGTGCGAGTAAATAGCAGTTTTGCCATTTTGGGGTGAACTATACCTTTAACTATGATGCCAGATCATGTTAGTCATTCATTCAATAGAAATGAATGGCCAAGATCAGTTGAGGCAGGCGGTTCACTATGGTTTGAACCCCAGCCTTAGTGTGACTAATTCAAGTAAACACACAAGCACTTACCGCTCTCCATCTCATTGCCCTTGTTCTTGGCGGTGGGCGCGTTGCCCATGATTGCAGGCCAGGTATAACAGATCTAAATCGACTTGTCTTGACGCCAACTGTCTTCAGACTCCGTCCCCTTACTGCTCATACGATTTCTGCGTCCGTTGCACTAGCTATGTCTGATCATAACTCGCTGGATCGCAGTACGCTGTCAGACCACATAAAGTCTGGAGGTTGATAGTAGCTGGTTAGTTAGCTAGCGAGCGAGCGCTAGCTAGCTAACAGTAGCTGTCTGGTTGCAGAACTTCGGTTTTGGTAACGTCTCTCAGCTCTCCTGGGTCGGGTCCGGTCCGCTGAAATAGCACTAAGAGCCCGTCTTCTTCTCCTTCTCTCGCTCTGCTAACCCTCAGCGAGGCCCTCGACTTTCCTCTTGAGCGCCACGAGCCCTTGTTTTCACCGTCCGCGCGCGATTCCGGTCGCAGCACGCCGACTTCGCCAAACCTTTTCGGTAGCGTGATCGTTTGCTTGTTTATGTTGATGAAGCAATTCGGTCGTGTGCACTATGTAGCTCGCATAATTCGACAGTCAGACCCCTTCCATTAATCCTCAATGCACAGCTACAGGGAACTCCTGCTTCAGCGAGACCTACGCGATGCCTATTGGCCGTTACGCTTGTGACGCGCTAGCAGAGCGCGCAGCTGATTGGACAAGAGCTCAGTAATCCAACGCAGGGAGAGCGATGATTGGCCAAACACTATCAGTCTGCAGGATGTTATCCCACCTCCGCAAATTGACAAATAACGTAATCTATTTTCATTTTATTAACACAGGTTTCTCTGTTTCGCGTTCCGTCTTTGTAAGCGGGCGCGGTGTTTTGCTTTCTCAATACAGAATCGGTTTCATTCATAATCCTTTGATGGTCCTCAGCGGTGTGTTTGTTAGCGAAATGGCCGCGCAAGCCCCTCCCCCTGGACTAATCCGTGATAGGCTGTATGACGTCAAGACGGTCTATTTTTAGAAAGTTGGTCAGAATTTGAAAACGCGAACACCCTACGTCTATGGAATATTAAAACGAGGTCTGTCTTCTGCAAAACAACCACGCTGAGGTCATATACGCAGGTATAAGCATTGCATTTTGGCAAATAATGCGCTTGCTCGGTTGCAACGGATTTGTCTTGCAGGACACGGAAAACGAGCCCTAACCAACGCAGTTGTGGGATGCACATGTACGAGCAGGTTGCATGCTTTACTGTGCATAGCAACCGCAAATGCATTAATAATGCCGTGCAAGAACACGAAGAGCAAAACCCACAATGTGACACTAAATTAAACACCGATTAAAAAAAAAAAGACGCTACTTTGAGGTCTTGTCACAGATGCTGCAATAGCCCATGTTGCCAAGCAACAAGCAAGCGGCTTGTGTCACTCCAAACATGGTGAACTCCTGCATAATGCAACACAACAGCTTTTTTTATGAATGAAAAGGCTGCACAGCTGCATCCACTCTGTGCACAACGCAAATCAAAGTAAAACAACTTCAATGACCATTATCACGTAACAAAACATTTATTTCATTGAGAACTGGCATACAAAAAAGACAGATTTATATATACACACAATATAATAAAGTCCCACCTACAAAAATATTGTCTGCTGCAACCTTTTACACAATTTTTCTGATGGCGTCTGCTAAATGAATAATGCATTTGACATCTTATCTGCTGAGCTGATCTTCCATCCCCTTTCGGTTTGAGAAAGGATCAGTTTTGGATCAAAAGGTTGATGGCATTAGATGCAGCACATCCTAATACCTAAATCATGTCTTAGATTCATGACTCACCAGCTCTCCATTCACGTTTCGAACTGGAAAGCAAACATGTTTATTGCATACCGGAGGATTTGCCATATTCTGCACACCACTGGTTTGTTTCGAATAGGTGACGACTGTAAGAAATTAGATTAATTAGATTCATTTTTATTTCTGATGTGTTTGAATAATCCCGTCTCTCCTCCACAGTGTCCAGATTGACCTGAGCTCACGGATGAGCCTTGAGATGTGAGGACTATTCACAGGAGCCTGCGTCACTACAAACAGTCCATGGAGTTGTCTGGCAGCAGGCCGAGTGGAGGTGCTTTTCCCGGAGTGCAGGATGGGGGCAGCATGCTGTTGGGTGCAGGGTCCACGTTCTCTGAATCCTCCATTTTCTCAGCACATCCCTCCCAGTTGATGTGAAATCTGGTTACACGTGGGTTGGAAGCCAGAATGTTCCTCTGGAGCTGAAAGCAAGCAGATAAAAAGGGCTTTGAATACACACTTTAATTTTACAGGGATGCAAATTCATCAGGGATGAAAAAAGTGACAACAACACAACACCCCCTAGGGAAAAGTTGTAAAATATATCTTCAAAATGTTTTATTTACAATCAATTTTAGCATGTTGTCTCTGGCCACATTCACGCTTTTGTTTTTATGGAATCCATTCCATGTTTATGAAAGCTTGTTTCTGCCACAAAAAAAATAACAAAAATAAAGGTAATTGCAACATTTTATCTGACGTTTTTCATGCAATTCTGAGAAGTCAGAAATGTGAGATATAAACTTACAATTGCAATACAAAAGTTCGAATTGTGGGATAAAAAGTCACAATTACCTTTTTAATTTATTTCTTTTTTTATTTTATTCTGTGGCGAAAACAAGATTCTATAAATTGTAACTATAAAATAATAATAAAAATTAATAAATAATAATTGTTATTATTATTTTTTATTTTATTACATTTCATAAATTAAACCAATATAGAATTTAAAAATTCACACTGTTGTTTTCAATGCAACTCTTTCAATATTACAATACAATAATAATGAAAATGATTATTAGTAGTAGTAGTAGTATATTAGTATTAAATTACGTAAATTAAACAAAGAAATATTACTATAGTAATAATAATACCTTTGTTATACAAATATATATTTATTTATTTTACAAAATGTTATTTTGTTAATTGAAATCCTAAAGCACTGTGACTTACGGCAGCGGTTCTCAATTCCAGTCCTCGCGTAACCCCGCTCTGCATATTTCACGTCTCACTTTGTTAACACACCTGATTCAGATCATCATCTCGTTAGAAGTGAGCTCCGTGCATGAACTGTGTTCCGACTGACATGGTCCCTACACAGTGTCCATTGCTCCCTACTCCCTGAGCAGGGGAAATCCGTTGAAGTTTACTTCACTTCGGAATATTCATTTACAGATTTGCGCTGCGCCGCTGCCTGCAGCGTCTTCACACACATACGAAACTTACTAGAGAAGCGTGAAGTGGGACATAATATACCTCTGTAAATAAATACAATTTAAATTCACGTCTCGCACACTTAAATGCCCTTTGTATGGAACATATACGCTCCCTTCAAACTGGAATCATGGAGGAATATCCGGTAATGTCCACTTCGCAGGGCACTTACAGTCAAATATAACAAACGTCTGAAGCAATAAGAGAAACATACAAAATGTGCAGAGCGGGTTACGCGAGGACTGGAATTGAGAACCGCTGACTTACACGGTAACCCTCATAATAGTCCACACCTTTTTTGCACCATTTTTATTAGAATTGCTACTAAGGAGTGATATTATGCACTACTCAAATGAACTACAGTTGTACATTTGACATGTTTTATTCAGATAAAACTGAAGATACCTCTTAATAAAACTATTAAAACCCAATGAAATGGCTTTACGAGTACAGTGTTCATTCTTGTATTGCCGTACACCATATGAAAGAGCAAGTTGGGGCCAGATATATTGAAGAACTCATCTGTTTTTAAAATAACCAATGGCCTTTAGTTTACATAGCAGCCATTCATTTTCTACTTGATATTGGTTGTCCAAAACAGGTGTTATTAAAGTCAACAGTCTTTTCTTTCCTATTATGACATACACTACCGGTCAAAAGTTTGGGATCAGAACGATTTTTTGTTTTTACAGTAGTTTCTTATGCTCATCAAGGCTGCATTTATTTGATCAAAAATACAGGAAAAAATTTAATATTGTGAAATATTATGATGATGTGTTCTTTTTAACATTTTATTCATCAAAGAATCCTGAAAAAAGTATCGGTTTCCAAAAAAATATTTGGCAGCACAACTGTTGCCAACATAATTCTAATAATAAATCAGCATATTAGAATGATTTCTGAAGGATCATGTGACACTTCATACTGGAGTAATGGCTGATGGAAATTCAGCTTTGAACACAGAAATAAATGATATTTTAAAGGATATTAAAATAGAAACCAGTATTTTATATTGTAATAACATTTTGCAAAATTACTGTTTTTTCTGTATTTCTGATCAAATAAATGCAGCCTTGATGAGCAGAAGATTCTTTTTAAAAAACATTACAAGTCTTACTGATCCCAAACTTTTGAACGGTAGTGTATATCCAAGCTAAATGGCTTATTGAGTGAGATTTTTTTCCCCCATTTATCAGGGATTGATTAGATCATAGAAAAGTGGCCATTGCAAGCTAAACAGAAGCAGATCAGAGTGCAAGTGTGCAGTCAGTTGTGGAGTGACAGGTTGCTGGAGAAAAGGGATTAAAACATGTCTGGCCATTGGACAACCTTACACTAATGTTTTTGATTAAAGTTTACAAGGGCACATGAATTAAAAAAAAAAACAAGGAGGTTCAAGGATAAATCAATTACCATAAATACTGCAACATTCCATTACATTTACACATTTTAGTTCCAAAGGTGAGGAACTATCTTATTCTAAACTATTTTTGGACAACCATTTATAGTGAACTTGTCAGTGAAAAATGAGATGATATTTTTTGGTTTCATTTTTGTTATGTATATTTCCTATAGCTAGAACACAGATGGATGAAAAGCTGCAAAACTCTAGAGTGTAAGAAACATGTTGACATACCTGTCCGTAGTCAGGTTTGAGGGGCGGATTCTCACGAAGCTCAGTGTCTGTGTACTCATTGTTAACATAGTAGCCAATACGTATGAACTCCTGTCCTCTGTATGTGCATGTGATCAGAACAACAGTGACACCCACAGCATCACTCTCAGGTATTAGGGCGGTGTTTGGAGCATCTGCCTGTTGCATGAAAGACAAAAATACCATAACAGAAAGTAATGAGGGAAAGAAAAGTATTACTTTGAATACGTGCATGACTCTAACTGGGTGTAACTGTAGGATAAGTGCAATAATTAGCTTTCTGTGTGTACATTTAATATAGGATAACATTACAGGAATAGTTATCCTATATTAAATGTACACACATAGGACACAAATAGGAATAACCTATAAACCACACTCATGTAGTTTCAAATGTTCAACACACAAAAAAAATGTTTACTCATGTTCTGCTAGCTAAATCTACTTTTGTGTTGCACAGAAGAAAGTTAGGCAGGTTCACATGAATGAGTTAATTTACCATTTTTAATGAACTACCCCTTTAATTGGAGTCATTTCATTATATTTTAATAAGAGTTTTGAGTCCTGAAAATTTACAGGTGCGGTTGTCACTCCCATAAATAACCGAAATATGTGAATGCAGCCGTATGAATAACTCAAATACAGGACTGACAACTTTACTCTGCTGCTGTGTGACAACATGTAATCTTTATAAATAATCTCAATTATAGTTGTGGTGAGATTGTAGCTATAAAAGTACTGATGAAATGCAAAAAAGAAGTTACATTAAGCAGACGCAACACTTTGAAAATAGCTAATTTATACCTTATTTGTGTTATTTACAAAGTAGAATTGTCTTAGAATATATTTTAAAGGGGTCATATGATGCTGCTAAAAAGAACATTATTTTGTGTATTTGGTGTAATGAAATATGTTTGTGGTTTAAAGTAAAAAAAAACACATTATTTTCCACATACTGTACATTATTGTTTCTCCTCTATGCCCCGCCTTTTTGAAATGCATTCATTTTTACAAAGCTCATGTGCTCTGATTGGCCAGCTATCCAGTGCGTTGTGATTGGCCGAATATCTCAAGCGTGTGACAAAAATGTTACGCCCCTTACCATACTATGATGCAGTGTCCGGCCGGAGCGACGAGACAAAAACATTAAAGGGGTCATATGATGCGATTTCAAGTTTTCCTTTCTCTTTGGAGTGTTACATCAGTGGCAAATCCTTTAAATATAAAAACATACTTCCAGACTGTGAGTCAGAACAGCCAGACTGTCCTTGCAAAGTTGACTGCCCCACTTTATAGAAACAGCCTTTGTGCCACAGACGAATTGTAAGCTACTCTCCCAGGAAACAGTCCTCCATAAATCTGAATATTTGGGTTGAAGTGTTCTGGAACAGTGTTGTAAATACAACTTAACCACTGATTTCTAGTCGTGTCCTCTTTTGGAAGGCCAAACAAAGTAGTTTCGCTTTCACAACGAAACACACAGCGCCTTCACGACAAGGCAGCGGCGGCAACAACAATACTACAGCGAGAATAAAAGTTACGCCTTTTTCTTTGCGTGAACATTTGGGCAGCGTTATGCAAATCTTCCCACATTGTGACGTAGACATGTGGGGCGTTAGAACGAGCCGTTTTAAGTAGGTGTGGTTGACTCTTAACTTTTATAAAGAATATCTCTTTGGATTTGAGACTTTAGTCTTTGCAACTTTACAGATCTTCTTTATGCACCAAGAGCTTGTAACACTTCAAAGCGAAAGGAAAAATTGAAATTACATCATATGACCCCTTTAAGTCGAATGCAAAGCATTGCGTTTTTACTGTTGATAATGATAATCTGTGTTATGATCTCACCTGAAACACAAACATATGTCGGCCTGCAGGAACTGGACCAACCAGGACGGAGTCAAGAGTCTGATCATGCTCTTCACTTTCTGCTGAGCCCACGTAAATAATCTTCCATTCAAGATCTATAACAGAGAAAACAAATACATGTCTATGCAAAAGATCAGACTGTCCCACACAATGTGTAATTACAACAATTTTTTTCTTCAACTATTCAGAAAAAAACAAAAACACTATAACATACACTACTGGCCAAAAGTTTTAAATAATTAAGATTTGTAATGTTTTTGAAAGAAGACGTCATGTTGAAAAGTTTTTTTCAGCGTAATTTATTTGTGGAAAACAAAATACACTACCATTCACAAGGTTGGGGTAAGTCCAGTTTAAAAAAAAAAATCAAAACAAAGAAATGTATACTTTTATTCAGCAAGGACACATTAAATTAAATTGCATATAACTGACATTTATGATGTTAAAGAAATTATGTTCTTTTAAACTTCCTATTCATCAAAGAATAAGAATATATAATATATATAAAAAATATATACTGATTCCCAAAAATATATATTAAGCAGCAAAAATGTTTTCAACACAATAATGAGAAATGTTTCTTGAGCAACAAATCAGCATATTAAAATGATTTCTGAAGGATCATGTGACACTGAAGACTGGAGAAATGATGCTGAAAATTCAGTTTTGCATCACAGGAATACATTAAAATTGAAAATCTATTCAAATAGAAATATGGCTGCACAATAAATCGCATCTGAAATTGAATGCGCATCTTGTCAGTAAAGCCGGTTCTGTAATCAGAACATATATGATCGTGGTTTTGCACAGCTTGCCAGTGAACAACGGCTCTGTGTGTAGTAAATGCTGCTTCATGTGAAAGCACGTACATTAGTGTTGTCACGGTACCAACATTTCAGTATTCGGTACCAATACCAGTGAAAATCCACGGTTCTCTGTACCAAAGCAAAACATGCTAAAAAATTTTTTTACTATACTTTCATTTAATCCAAACTGTGTACATATTTAATTTTAAAGGGCTTTTGAAAACCTAGAGTTATTCAGCCAAGAATAACAACTAAGTTAGCTAAAAAAAAAAAAAAAAACAAAACTGCTTTTCTGACTGATATGACACAAACAATGTTAACCATTTGTACCCTCTCTAACACGCATATTTTAGATTCACAATTCATTTAAAAGCCTCTGGTGTGTAAAAATAGTAAATATCATCATGTCCTCCTGTTTTTCTTTACCCTAACAAAAGTTATAGGAGCATTAATAGTTAATAAAGAAACTTAATTCTAATGCTCATTATATTAGCGTTAGCCACGCTTATGCTAACGATTAACTACTCCAATAACAGCAATGTTCATTTCAATCTGACATTCAAATTAAAATACTGAATGATATTCATAACAGAAGCAGTGTTTCCCACAGACTTGCACTCTATTTGTGGCGGCATATATATGCAAATTCATTCTCTTGCAGCAGGAGGCGCTTGTAAACCGGGAGGGATAGAGGTTTCCCCGGTAACGGCTGTAATCAAATAAGCGCTGTGCTGACAAACGCTGCTTTATCAGGCATTACAGGCCAGATGAAATGAAAATGACATCCATAATTTTCTGAAGACAGTCGGTTTCCTTCAGAAATACAGTGATATAAAAACACCCGCACCGGGTTTCGACGTTGACATGTGCAGTGCTCATGTTTACTCACCGAAGTCAAAGCCTTTTGGAAAATCTATTTGTGGCAGTCAGTTTTGATATTGTGGCGAGCAGCCACAAATAAATAAGTGTATGGGAAGCACTGAGAAGATCTAAATATTAAAAATGTAAATGAAACTTACCTGCTTGAACTCTTTCATTTGATCTGGGTGTCTGTCTTTAAAGTGTTTTGTTAGTTTGATGCGTTTCCTCATTTTGATTTGCTTTTATGAAGAGAACGCATCTGCGCACCTTTCGGATAGCTCATCAAGAACCGGGTTGACCAGGTACTCGGTACCACCGGTACTTAAGAAAACCTGGTACCGTAACGTTTTCATCTTTTTACACTAACGCACATGATGGAAATTTACTGCTGATTACAGAACCGGCTTTACTGACAAGAATCGCATTAAATATCGCATGTGATTTATCCTGCAGCCCTAATAGAAAACACTTATTTTTAATTCTAATAATATTTTACAACATTACTGTTTTTACTGTATTTTTTATTAAATAAAAATGCATGCTTGGTTGCATGACTAGTAGTAGTGTATGATTTTCTTGGAATTAAAAGTGCAGATTTAACATTTTACATTTCCTTTTCTAGTACTGGGTCACACAGGTAAGCAAAGTGATCTGACTGTATTTATGTACATTTCATCAGGATGTTTCTTGTATTTGATAAATCTACACTGTTGTTCAGAGATCAACTTTAACAAAAATTTTACAGAAATATTAACGTTTCTACATGGCAACCCTGTAGCACAGTGGAATTAGAGTAATGCATTGCATTTACTAATTTGTGACCCTGGAGCACAAAACCAGTATATTTGTAGCAATAGCCAACAATACATTGTATGGGTCAAAATTATAGATTTTTTTTTTTTATGCCAAAAATCATTAGGATATTAAGTAAAGATCATATTTTGTAAATGGCCTACCGTAAATATCTCAAAACTTGAACTTGAAAACTCCAGGGTCACATTTGATAGATTTTAATAAATAATATCGTCAATATGTATTACTGCAGTTAATTATTTGCAAAGATTTTTTTTTTTTAGAAATACACACAATAGAAAACGACAAAACGAAGAGAGACGATTAGCTTTGGTGTTAACTGAGAAGCACAAAGGAAAAGTTACAGCTCAGCTTCCTCGCGCGCTTCAATCACCCGCCATTCTGACGTCATCTGGAGGAGTTAGCGCGTTAGCTAGCAAAGCTAATGAATAAGGAGAAAATACACCAAAACTCAATTAAACATAATACTCACCTTCGGGAAGATCCTCCATGCACTCAAACGTTACTTCGAATTGAAACGGGTTTCCAAATGGACTCGGGTTGTCCAGGACAGCTACATTTAGCACTTGCACTTTTGCCATAGCTCTAACGTTACTGTAGTAACAAGGAAATTGACACAGTTTACCCCCAAAACAATGCAAGACCGATAAACCGAGAACAAATTCAAATACTCAGCTGACGTTTCAAGTAAAACTCTTAGAAGGTTTGGTTTCACTTCTTAGCTTGCGAGCTATTAGTCCGATACCGCAGACTATACTGTTAAAGCAGGAGAATAGAGAAGTCTAGGTTGCTTCTCCTCCCAAATTAAAAGGAAAAAGAATTCAAAATATGACCTAAAGTAACGTATAGACGTAAAACAAATATTATTTCACGAAACCCGTTACTTAAACTGACAGACAATACAAGCAGCGTTGTCTCCCGCCAGAGCTTTCAGACAGCTCCAGTACGCATCACGGAAAGCGGATTGGTTTGTGCGCTGATTGGCCAGTAAATCTAAAGTCCCGGATTCTGCGGACGATGATTGGACGGCAGTGACAGCTGTTATATGGACGAGCCCTCCTCTGGGTTTGATTGGCTGCATCATCTTTCCTAGCTAAAGTTTAGTTCAGCGGTTGAATGTGTAGTTTATATTATGGTTTTAAAAATATAGAATTATATTTTACTGTTAACTGGGTAGATAGTAGTAAGAAAGCCTATTGGGTAGAAAAAAAGAAAATCAGTTGCTGAGTCTTTCAGACGCATATGAACCAGCAAAAGAGTTTTTTTTATTTTTTATGAATTGTGAATTAAATCTGAATTGTGAAAGACGCCAGAAAAATCACTGACAATCTGCACAGTTTGTAATTGTCTGTGTATCAAATAAGCTAATGAAATGACGTTTAGAGAGTTTGTGGAAAATATTAGGTTATTATTATTTAGTCATTTATTAGAGGCTTTTGTCCAAAGCGACTTACAAATGAGGACAACAGAAGCAATCAATTGTAGTATTAAAACACTAAAAACAGATCCAAAACTAAAAGCTAAAACTTTATAAATACTACCTATACACATTTTAAAAATAAAGAGATTAAATAAAAATGACAAATGCATACAACAAAATTTCAAAACTTAACATTTAAATGAAAAACAAAAAATAAAGCTAAAAACAATTCAAAATATTAAAGAACAAAAGGTATGAGTATAATAATGATTCTAACATAACACTAAGCCAAACACCAAAAAAGCAACTACATATATGTGTATGTACAACCATACATACATACATATGTATATATACATACACATTTATAAATTCAATATATATATTATTTCATTTTCATTTAGTTTGTTGAAGTATTAAAATAACTAAAATTAAATAAAACTAAAAACTTAATAAAAGACCTATACAGACATAATAAATTCAGACATAATTGTACTAAAATAAATAACAAATACAAATAATTCAAATCAAACGACAGTAGTTTATCAGTAATCCTAAAAAATAACACTGCCAAACTTACATGCTAAAAAACAACAACTTACTGACACATAGTAAGAAATGGTTATAAAAACTGAAACAGAAATGAAACAAGAAATAGGAAAGAGGAGAAATAAAAAGCGATACTTATTCTATCTTAATAATATCTTTATTATTGACAAGAACTTCAATTCCATTTCAAGATGAAACAGATAACAGTTAAAGATTAATAATTGAATATTACTACTCAAAAATACGTTTAAATGTAGGCTATGGTTATTCCTTACATTGTCGCTTGAGATTACAATATTTAAGTAGATTCATTCATTCATTCATTCATATTCATACTTTTTACTGTCTAGTGGGCAAGTTTAATGCTAATTTCCTATTTTTTTCTGTGTGGGTCATCAACGAATCAACAGTAACGAAGTGGTTCATGATTTTCCTAAAAGGAGGAAAGGGATTAACAGAACTGTGGTATGTCAAGAATTTTTATTTATAAGATTAAAACTTGATTCGCTACCACTGGAGGTCGCAACACTACCAGAGCATTTCAAACGGATGGTATTGATAATGTGTGTGTGTGTGTGTGTGTGAGGGAGAGAGAGAGAAGGGGGGCGGGGGTGCTAGTGTACGTTTACATTTACATTTGCATTATTTTAATATCTTTAAACTTTAATGACAGCTAAAAATAGCTTCGAATTAAAACCTCAAATCAGTCAGATACACATGCAAACCATTTGACATCCGTGAAATATTCTAATTAGCAAGGACACAAGATTAAAACAGTGCTGATGTGCGTCAGTGAAGTCATCGCTCCGGTGCGCAGGTGCATGTCTGCGCACAATAGCGCGACTGTCTCGCGCCACAGGTAATAGCTGGACTCAGGTGTTGTAACACGACACTGAACCATGTGATCAGCGACGAGAATTTAGGAAGAAGAAGAACTCAGCTCGAGCATTCACTCAACACTCTAGTAAATACCAACCGCACAAGACCACCATTGATAGCAGGGCATCTTGAAGGACAATGTATTATTATTATGAGCAGGACGCCGGAGTGTCGCGATAGTTTCGGTTTAAACAGTTCATTTCACCGGTAAGGTGAGGCGGAAGCGAGCTACGGTCAGATCTATTGGATATACAGTCTGCATATAAACTATTCGTCGGGGAACATCGTGGATTATGAAGGTACACACAGGTATTTGTTTTGTTTCTGTTTATGTGCCTCGTATGGATGAATGTTTCCTTAGCAACACAAGTAAGTGGAAGGAATGTGCATGTCGTGGACTGGATAAAGGTTACAGGTTGAGAAATGAAAAATAAAAACCTTTTTCTATTACATATGGCCAGGGTCAGCTGTTATGTATTAAACCAGTGTTTCCCAACCGGGGTGCCGTCTGTCGAGAGCAGGGGTGCCGTGTAAAAAAATCATTTTTGAATATTTGTAAATTGCTACAATGTTCAAAAAAGCATCTATTATATAAAATCCACTTCTGATGTCGCCAATAATTAGAGATGCACCGAAATTCCGGCTGCCGAAAATTAGTTCACCGCTCAGGTTTCACTTCTACTGATTATCACCATTGATGGACCAAGTTTTTTAATAATATTAAAAATATCTGTATGACATTATATTCAGCAGTTCTTCCCCGTTGTACCGAATATCTATAACTTTCAAATGATCACATAGAAGTTAGAAATTCAAATATTGTGACAAAATTAATTTTGTAGGGTGCCACAAGTTTGTTAAAATTTCCAAAGGGTGCCGCGACTAAAAAAAGGTTGGGAAACACTGTATTAAACACACCCGATACATATGGAAGAAATATTTACTAGAAAAGAATTTACAGGATCTTTTGAAATGCAAAGGAATAAACATCAAGGGAATGAATCCGTGCATTTGGATAGGCCTATATGTAGGCTATATCTATTTTAAATCCAAAATGTAATTTAGGAGAGCATAATCAAAAAGATTAGGAAGCTAAATGATCTGGTTCCCCACTTGCAGAGGTGGACAGTAGTGAAGTATTTTTTACTTTACTCGAGTAAATTTAAAAAGTATCTGTACTTTTTTTCCCTGAAAACTTTTATTTCACTACATTCCAAAGCATAATGCTGTACTTTTTACTGCGCTACATTTCATAAATAAAAGTTGTTGTTGTTGTTTTACCTATAATACTTACGAACATTAAAAATGTAATATTTTCTTGTATTCTTTTAAAACTTTGAATTATTTTACTTGAGTAAAAGTAAGAAAGTACTAGATTTCTAATGTAATTAAGTATTAAATTAAATTTAATATGAAATGTAGTGAGGTAAAAAGTACAATATCATGCTTTGGAATGTTGTGAAGTAAATGTTTTCTAAAGAAAAACACTCATTTGTCAATTTAAACAAAATGTCATTTTAAATCAGAGTAAAAATACTTCACTACTGTCCGCCTCTGGTCACTTGTAATTTAGTTATATAACTGATTTTGATTGTTTTAAACAATGCCAACAATCAAATAAATCAAATTAGCAAAGCAACTTCAGATCCTAACAGACGTTCCTGCTCTTCTTTTGCAGCTCGCTAGAGACAGATAGGACTGCTTTAATTCTTTGATCTCGGACATGATTTATTGACCACCTCTGCTCCACCCTACCTGGAGCATCAGCCCCTTCTGGTTGAGGGTAGGGGTGCAGATTGACTCCATCCCGGAGATGATACGGCAGGTTGGGCTATTGGCAGGGAGTTTTCTGCTGCTGCTGCTTCTCAGGAATGTTTCGGCCCAGGGTGAGTCACTCGCTCCACCTCTGCAGTCATGTCCAAAACTGAAATTTGAGAGTATCCGGACTATTAATCACTGTTAAAGCTCACTGCATTTAAACAGCTCAGTGGAGTTGCGTCAGATTAATCTGAACACAAGAGACGAGGAACACTCCTCTAACTTGTACTTAGTTAGTACAGGACTGTTTCTTGAACAGACAAGCTCAAGCATGTCGAGGTTCCTGCAGAAACATTTACGGTGTTGTTGCAAAGACATAAAATGGTACAAAAAGTACAAGAAGTGTGTAATCATAAACCATCAATCTCAGAAAACCTCCCCAGATCATATTTCACCCTGAAAATCACAAGAAAGATGTAAGAAATTATATTTTTCTTATAGAAATTAGACCAATTTTAAAGGGGGACTTGCTAAGATTTTTTGTACTGTGACATTATTTTCATGACATGTATAGGTACATTTCAGCCACAAATTCTCATTACTGTTATACAAAATGTCCAATTTTTCTCACTACTGTAATGTGAAATACTATGTGTAATGCTTTAGTTTAGGGTCCAATTCTCACTAATAACTAGTTGTTTATTAGCATGCATATTTCTATCAAATTGGCTGTTTATTATAGCCTACTTATAAAGCACATATTAATGCCTTATCCTGCATGACCAAATTCTAAATCCCTTAATCCTACACCATACCTAAACTACCTTAACTATTAAAGGGGTCATATGACGTTGCTAAAAAGAACATTATTTTGTGTATTTGGTGTAATGAAATGTGTTTATGCGGTTTAAGGTTAAAAAAACACATTATTTTCCACATACTGTACATTATTGTTTCTCCTCTATGCCCCGCCTTTCTGAAACGCGTCGATTTTTACAAAGCTCATCGGTCTGAAAAGCAAGGTGTGCTCTGATTGGCCAGCTATCCAGTGCATTGTGATTGGCCGAATACCTCAACCGTGTGACAGAAATGTTACGCCCCTACCATACTGTGTTTCCATCATACAGTCTGGTTTCCATGTGTCCGGCGCGACGAGACAAAACCAATAAAACCCATTACAAACGAAGCATTTGTTGCATCCAGTTGGGACATAATTACTGATTGTAATGACTTGTACTGTGTTTTTACGCTTTGAGTCACGTATTGCGCCACGTAAACATAAAACCATGTCTGCATTTGTGATCGGAGAAATTACAAACAATAAACGCAATAAACTCTACACTGCTCAAAACTCGCGTTTGAATCGTCAGTGGCAAATTCTTTAAATATAAAAAACGTACTTACAGTCTTGAGACTTTAGTCTTTGCAACTTTACAGATCTTCTTTATGAGCCAAGAGCTTGTAACACTCCAAAGAGAAAGGAAAAATTGAAGTCGCATCATATGACCCCTTTAATAACCAGAAAATTAAGAGTTTATTGAGGCAAAAGTGGTAGTTAATAGTTAGTTAGTGAGAGTTGGTCCCCAAACTAAAGTGTGACCGTATTACTTAAACACATTATTTTGATGTTTGTTGAACAGCCTTTGATACTGACTTAAAGAAAATGAGAATTTGAGGCTTGGCCATAAAATAGGCGTATTTGTGTAAAATATCATTTATTTGTATTTTTCTTCTCATTTTTGGGATACAACGTTTTGTGAGATTCATACACGAGTGGAGCTAAAAATGGTCACACATAAAACAAATTTACTGTGATACACATGCTTCATGACTCGTCTTGCAGCAAGTTTCTTTGCTTCTTTAAAGTAATCTTTGCACTTTTGCCCTCGAGGGATTATTTACTCATGTAAATGATTAACATTTTTGCTTTTTTATATGTATCCTCCCTCTCTCTCTCTTTCTCTTTCTCTCAGTCGATCTCTCTATACCATGTGTGTGTGTGTTGTCATAGCGTTTAAACATTACTTTTAATCATCAGTTTGCAAATGTAACATTTATTTTCAATCAAGTCAGCAGTTTGTACCATTATTTGTTCTCTGACCTTCAAATGCACATTAGTTTGTCAAAGTCCAAACTCGAGATTTTACAAAGTTGCCAAATTTTGAGATTATTTGGGGTGTGAGGGATTTGTTGTTTTCTTAAAGAATTGAGGCTAAATATGGGACCAGCTGCTACTTTGCTTTTTAAAAAAATATTAAACAGAGACAATTATAACGATGTATAAAGTAATTTATTAAAAAATGTGAGGAAGTAGATCTTACCACTGGAGACCAAAACATTTGCTACATGAAAAATGGCATACAAACAAATGATTAAACCTGAACAGTTTTGAACAGATTCATTAAAACACACAATTTAAACTATAATTCATGAAAATGAATTAAACCTACTAACAGCAATTGCCATTATAACGCTCTCAGGAAAGCCCAAACTTGTATAATGCTGCTGTTTTTAGAAAAGCTAATGGCCAAATAACTGAGACATTCATAATGTTGAAGATTCAAAATGCTATGTCACCAGCAAAATCATCAATGCATATACAGTGAATATAATATCATCCAGTCAAAATGATTAAAGACAATGTAATTATTTGACAAGTGCAGTTTTATTTACTGTGTAGAATAGATGTATTGCCTATAGAAACAGGAAGGGGAGATATGTTGATTTTTATTATTTTTCTAAACAGTCATTATCCTTTAGTTTATATTTGTGAACTGTTCATTGCTTTTGGCTTATTCTGTGGAATTACGAGGGAGGACATTGTAGACAACAATTTGCATGTGAAAGATAAGTCATTAAATATTTTGGCCAATTTTCCCAGAAGAAACGTATGCTAAAAGTGTATTTTGTCAACTTTTAGAATTGCACTAGAATATGGAATTACATAACAAGATTTAACTTAGTCACTCTCAACTTTTCTTTTGTTTTCAAGATCCAGATTTAAACAAAGAAAAAAACAGTGCACACGTACTGAATGTTAGGTGCTGGGTTTCATAATATTGCTGTAAATCATTTAAATTGCGAGATTACACCATCACAGTGCAGATGTATCACAGTTGACACCATTCAATGTGGAAAAAGCTCAGGATCCTCTTTCATTAACATTTACTTCTCATTCTCATATCTTTGTTTCTTTTTCTCAGAAATATAGCCTTCACAGTGAGCTCTGTGACATAGGTGCGCACTGCGCAGCATAGTGATGTGACTTGAAATGATACCGACACCTCAAATAAAATATTAAAGAACCAAAACATGCTACTTTGAGCTGCAACACTGTCATTAAAGCATTTCTTTTTCTCAGAAATATAGCCTTCACAGTGAGCTCTGTGACATAGGTGCGCACTGCGCAGCATAGTGATGGGACTTGAAATGATACCGACACCTCAAATAAAATATTAAAGAACCAAAACATGCTACTTTGAGCTGCAACACTGTCATTAAAGAACCATGCAAGATTTGTGAGGCATAGGACGAGTACCAAAATCATATTAGTGTCTGTAGATCACAATTAGTTGTCATCTAATTATAATGTTTTCTATTTGCAGGGGAAACGACCACAGTGCCCAATAGCACTACAACTCCCAGCCCAGTAAGTAGAAATTCTCCTGAAGTGTAGTCAGGTGTTTATTTCCCCTTATTAGCCTGAAGCTCATCGTCTGTCTAGAAATGAAAAGATGTTTATTTCTCTTATGAGTATCTGATCAACTATTGGCCAATATACTCTTCGTTTGATCTTTAAGAAACATAGTTTCCCAAATTTGAGAATAAGAAACTGAATCTTTTAAAAATGTTTTGAAATAATTTTCTTATGTTCACCAAGGGTGCATGCTTTGATATTTGATCAAAATACAGCAAAACTGTAATATTGTGAAATATTATTACAATTTAAAATATCTGTTTTCTGTTGCAATATATTTTAAAATGTAATTTATTCCTGTGTTCAAAGCTGAATTTTCAGCATCATTACTCCACTCTTCAGCGCCACATGATCCTTCAGAAATCATTCTAATATGATGATTTACTACGCAAGAAACATTTCTGATTATTATCAATGATGAAAACAGTTGTGCTGGATAATATTTTGTGGAAACACTTTTAAACACTTACTTGGTGAATAAAACTATTAATTTCCTTAAAGAAAATAACAGTAATAATAATAAAAATCTTTCTGACTTTTATGTTTATAGGTAATTCATACTGATTGATAAAAAAATACTGAACATATTATTAATTGGTGGAATTAAAAGTATGAATTTCTTTTAATTTCATTCCATTTTACTATATCCTCAAATTGAAATGTTTACTGCATGCGGTAACACTTATCACTTTTCAGTGTCCTTAATAACAGTAGATTATGCATAATTACATGCAACTAACCCTAAACCAAATGTCAACCCTATAGTAAGTACATGGTGTTATTAATATTATTCAGCATTTAAACATATAATTACACTGTAACAAGGACCACTTAAAATAAAGTTTAACCCTGGATCTTGTTTGCTACCTCAGATCAAACTAAGGAATTTTATTACAATTCTAAATTGCCTTGGAATAAAAACATATCACAATATCTGGTTTCTTTATGCCAATCATGTTGTACTGCTCCAGTTGATTAACATCCCTACTTTTCTTTGTCCAGGACCAGGGCCCTGATATTGTGGCCATTGTAGTACCAACTGTGGTCGTGGGACTGCTGGCTATTTTAGCAGCTGTTCTGGTGTTTCTGTTCTGCGTGGTAAAGAAGAAGAGACAGACGGAAGGGGCGTATCGACCCAGCGCAGAGGAGCAGTCAGGAGCACGTAGTGTTGAGACGCCTGACGCTCTGAAATTACCCAAGGAGGAGAGACTGATTTGACAAACTGGTTTATGACTAACCAGCAGCACATGATAATAGTGACTCAATTCCAAAACGGTTAAACAGATAAACATTAACTAAGGACCGTTTTTGAAGGCACAAGGCACAGCTGTGTTTTGGCTAAACAAAGTGAGTCGGACTACTTGGAAGAAACTTGAAGGAACAGATCCTCTCTCCAAAAGGCCACATATTTCACAGTACAGATCATCTAGCATTTCATGCCATTTTAGACTGGTAGCTTTTCTCTGAATACGTCATTTTATGTTGTGTTACCTGTTTTAATGGTTGCTTTACACATACAAATGCTGATATTTGTATGTAGTGTTAAGATATTTTTAAAGGTGAAGTGTGTAATAGCTGCACCCCTAGTGGCACAAAACAGAATTGCAGTCTGTTTTGCATTCAAAATGGGCCAGACTTAAAGGGATAGTTCACTAAAAAAAATGACCATTCTGTCAAAATTTACTCACCCTCAAGTTGTTCAAAACCTGTATGAGTTTCTTTCTTTTGTTGAGCAGAAAAGAAGGTATTTTTTTTTAAATGTTGGTATAACCAAACAGTTGACGGTAGCCATTAGTATGGGGGGGAAAATACTATTGAAGTTAATGGCAACCGTCAACTGTTTGGTGACAAAATGATGACAAAATGTTCATTTTTGGGTGAACTATCCCTCAGCATCAGCTCAACCAATGGTGTGAATTTGAGGGCGGGACTATCTGTTTGACTGAATAATGGAAGCTAGCTGCATTTGAAACTTTAAATTAAAATGTTTTATTTAAATTAGTCATCAATTTTTCATTTCTGTTTGTTGGCACTAGATTTTGCACACTACACCTTTAAATATTTATTCAAATCAATTTGTTCACAATATAGGATGTTCATAATCTCATATCTGGTATGTTTGTTGAAACCACTTTTCACAAATTATTTCAACGGCTGTATTTGTCTAGATTTACCTTAGTAATGTTTCCTTATATATATAATTTAATCGAATATGAATTGTCCAGAAATTTGATCAGTGCAACAATGGATTCTATTTGGAATCGTTTTTGATTCTTTTATCATAGCATGGATGTTTACACTGAAATATTTCATGCATTATGTTTCACTGGAGTGCCTTTTCAAATGTCACCGTTTTAGAATCTGCTAAATCGTGCTGTTTTTAAATATAAGATTAAAAGGCACAATGGTCATGCTATATTGTGAATATAATCACTGCTAATGGGTTTTGTTAGGCACAACGCTCAGAGTTACTATATTTACAATAAAGCACGGCCTCAGGAGCCTTTGCTTTTATAAAATGGTTGTTCCATGTTAAAAATATTGAGGACAACACAAATTTACATTAAAACATTATTTTATGAAGCTAATTAATTGTGTTATTGTTCCTCTGAAGATACAGTCTCTAATATAATAGAAAGTTACTACATTTACATTTACATTTAGTCATTTTGCAGACGCTTTTATCCAAAGCGACTTACAATTGGGGGATACATAAAGCGATTCTTCTTAAAGAGGCAAACAGATACAGGAAGTGCTTGTAATACCAACTATGCAACAAAACAATTTGCCGTGCCCTATTATAGTCTATTCTATATTGTGGAATTTAGCATGACTACGCGCTGCTTGTCTTCTGTCTTCTGTTTGTATTTCCACAGCGTGAAAGGTCATACAAATTTATAAATGAACCGCTAGTTTTAAAATCTTCCCAGTCTACTTATATTTGATATTACATCTATACAGAGCTACCGCAAAAACGGATGTTCAAAGACCAAATTAAGATGGCTGCGCACTTGTTTCTCTGATGGATAAGGTCTATTTTCCTCATCGGAAGCCAAAATAGTAATTATTTATTTCATATGTATTTTTAACATATTAATTTTTGGAATATTCGATCCATATTTTTATAGTGGGTACTGCTATTTTGTAACGTGAATGCTAAAGGCTTTTGTCCGCGTTCTGCTTGATGTTGCAAACTGGTAGCCTGTACGTTACATTATTTTATTATTGTAATTGTAACAGCCTTGGTTTGTAGTGCAAACAGATTTACTGTTTACTGTTTTTCTTCTAGTTATTTGGCTAGCAGCTAATGAATCAGACGTCTTGCACATTCACAAAAAATAGCCTAGCTTACTTCTGCGTTGGAAAATAAGGTGGCAAATAAGGCCTTTACCCCAATCCACAAACATCGGTTGAAAATTTGTAGCTGGATAGGTGTTGGCTACTTTGAAATTTTATGACATTACATAAATGTCCTATGAGTGCTGACACTACGATAATATCTGGGTGTGCATGGAGGAGTGTCTTTCTTAAGAAGCGTAGGACAGCATTGCTTAAGGCTGTGTCTCACAAATTTGCTTGCCAAGAACAACATAAGAGCTTATTGTGATGAATAGATCTAAGAAAAGCATGCTCAGTTTATTGTTTTCAGGAACACTGCTCTCTAGTGGTCTACTTTGTCTTTCAGGCAGTTGTTTTATGCTGCCATTTTCTTTGGTTTGGCAAAATACAATAGCAACAATGACATGCTGTGCATTTGAATGATAATATCAGGAAACTAATCACAAATTTATTTATTTTCAATTTAGTCTTTTTGACTGTCAAAGACAATATTCAAAGGCCCCAAAAAGTGGCCTTATAGTGGCAATATATTTAATCATTTAATAAATAATTTTGAAGAATAATTAAAGTATTACTTTTCTAGATGTTTGTCATTTCTACCCATATTTTAGAGCTTGACATAACTAGAAAAAAATTATATTTATTCCCTCATATATCCAAGTTTTCCAAGACCACAAGAACCATGGTTCATAAATAAAAATGACAGTTGTTGAGGGAACAAAATAAAATAAGAAATATGTCTGCTCACGTTTTGGTTGTCAGCTGTTTTAGCTCATTTTATAGGTTGTTTTGTCTTATTTTAAATAATTTAAGCCATCCTGTGTCCACCACTAATGTTAATTAAAACATTCATGAAACCCTCTGTGACTTTCGAAAAAAACAACAATTCTGATGTAGTAGTAGCCTTTATTCCAATCGACACTGAGACCAGTTACATCGTTCTCAAATCCAAAGGCTTCACAGTTAAAATCACTTGCGTTTCTCTTGCATGTGAGGGGGATTTGATGGCGTGCATTCACAACATTCAGAAACACAAAACCAAACCAAAAGTTCACAATTCCTCAAAATGTCATTGGGGAGGAGAGGGGAGGGGGGGGGACTGTCATTGATGGATACTGAATGTGAAAACCCATTCATTGTTCTGGAGAGCACTGGTTTGTGGTAACAAGGATGAAATATGGGGGATGGAGTGGTAGGGACACTTTCGCCAGGCGGTTGCGATTTAGGCGACCTCCTCCTCGCCCTCCTCTTCGAACTCGCCCTCTTCGGCGGTGGCGTCTTGGTACTGCTGGTACTCGGACACCAGGTCGTTCATGTTGCTCTCGGCCTCGGTGAACTCCATCTCGTCCATGCCCTCGCCGGTGTACCAATGCAGGAAAGCCTTGCGCCTGAACATAGCGGTGAACTGCTCTGAGATTCTCTTGAACAGCTCCTGGATGGCAGTGCTGTTGCCAATGAAGGTGGCCGCCATTTTGAGCCCACGGGGTGGGATGTCGCACACGGCAGTCTTGACGTTGTTGGGGATCCACTCGACGAAGTAGCTGCTGTTCTTGTTCTGGACGTTCAGCATCTGCTCGTCCACCTCCTTCATGGACATGCGTCCGCGGAAGACGGCGGCCACGGTCAGGTAGCGGCCATGACGGGGGTCGCAGGCAGCCATCATGTTCTTGGCGTCAAACATCTGCTGAGTGAGCTCAGGAACGGAGAGCGCGCGGTACTGCTGGCTGCCTCGGCTGGTGAGGGGAGCGAAGCCGGGCATGAAGAAGTGGAGACGTGGGAAGGGCACCATGTTGACGGCCAGTTTGCGGAGGTCGGCGTTGAGCTGGCCGGGGAAGCGGAGGCAGGTGGTGACGCCGCTCATGGTGGCCGAGACGAGATGGTTGAGGTCGCCGTAGGTTGGTGTGGTGAGCTTGAGGGTGCGGAAGCAGATGTCGTAGAGAGCCTCGTTGTCGATGCAGTAGGTCTCGTCGGTGTTCTCAACCAGCTGGTGGACGGACAGTGTGGCGTTGTAGGGCTCCACCACGGTGTCGGACACCTTGGGCGAGGGCACCACGCTGAAGGTGTTCATGATGCGGTCGGGATACTCTTCTCGGATCTTGCTGATGAGGAGGGTGCCCATGCCGGAGCCAGTGCCTCCGCCGAGAGAGTGGGTGAGCTGGAAGCCTTGCAGGCAGTCGCAGCTTTCTGCTTCCTTACGAACAACATCCAGTACTGAGTCCACCAGCTCTGCTCCTTCTGTGTAGTGACCTTTGGCCCAGTTGTTTCCAGCACCACTCTGACCTGCAATCATTAAAATTTAGCGTTGAAAGTCCCGTTCAAGGAAAGTGTGTTCACTTGGTGGCCATATTTGCAACGTCTTCATGCTTGAATGGCGAGATCCAAACTTGCATTTGCGTAACATAAATCAAACAAGCAACAAAATCTGGCACATGTTGGCCCACAAATGCTATTTCTTGTGCTAAATAGCATTAAAAAAGGTTTTCAGGTTGGTAAAGCCAACGCGCAACCAGAGCTTCTAACAGCAGCTGGTGATGACTTTACCAACTGGCGATTAGCTCTTTTTTTAGAAAACAGGACTTATTGCGCCATATTGTGTGTTGAACTTTCTCCCATTCATAATATGAGTGCACCATCTTTGTATATCTAAAGTTTCACTAAAGTTAAAGTTAAATTTGACATCCACCATGTCAAATTTGAACTCCTTCTAGCATCCAACAGAAGACACCATTTAATTGCTATCAGTGTGGATTCACACCTACTAAGTGTGAAAAATGATACTGTAGCAGCACATGGTGGAAATAACAAAGGTAATGGAAAAAACATTTGAGGAATGATTAGCTTACCAAACACAAAGTTGTCAGGTCTAAATATCTGTCCAAAGGGTCCAGAACGAACTGAATCCATTGTGCCAGGCTCCAGATCCACCAAGATGGCACGGGGAACATACTTCCCACCTAAACAAAAAGATGGATACAGTATGTCATACTAACCAGACATTTGTTTCAGTGTGCATGCTAATATCTGCGCACATACAATGATGTTTAAACATCTGAGACCGCAATGTTGGCTGGCATTTTGCATAACTAAAAACTATACAAATCAACATCATTTTTGACAATGAATTTGGGAGATTTGAATAAATGGTCTTTGTGTCCTCCTTTTGCTGTAATGATAGCAGCACTCGAGCTGTGTGAAGTTCCTAATGATCTAATTATCATGTTATCCAACATGATTTGAGAATGATTCAAAGAGTATCTGCTTGGTTTTTCTTTAGTGCAAAGGAATTTACAATGTGACAATTTTGCTTACCTTTCATTAGTGACTATAAAATAATTATAGTAATTATAAATATAAT